GAGACACAAGACATCCAGGGCTACTGAGGGGGGTGGGGGCACAAATTCTCAGGGCCCAAGCCAACTGGAGGGCCCCTGAAGCCAGTATCATGCTGCAATCCTGTAATTAATTATTTTTTACACTTAATGCAGTTCTCAAGTTCTTTGCTACAGCCACTAGGGCTGCAAGGAAGGCATAGCACAGTAAACAAGAGTTACTCTGACTTATTATGAGGCTGAGGGAAACCCTTGCTTCTGAGATCCTGCTAAACCCATCAGCCAAACCTGCACTGGTGCAAGGCAAGTCCAGCCAGCACAATTTACAGTCATTGCCAAGATGCAGCCTCCTAACAAGGTCATTTTCAGAAACAGTCTATGGTTTCCATCTTCCTTTAGTTCCATCCAGGTCCATAGTACTATGTGCAATGGAAGCTAAGGTTGTCAATAACAGACATTACTCACCTGAAAAGAAAGCTAGTAGCCTCTGAACTGGCCACAAGCTTCAGAATGATAGTGGGAGATGCAACATCAAACATGGAAGGGAATTAAAACATCGTTCCAGAGGTCATTATGACAAACTACTCTTCCCCTTGCTATTGGTCATGAGAAGCCCAGGAAAGTACAGGCTGCACAGATAAGGAGGTGGAAAAATTCTTCTCTCTGAAAAAATAAAAGGGGTTTAACAACTCTCCTGACCTATCAGAGTCTCTGTCATTTAGTGGTTAAAATGCTGGACTAGGATCAAACAGATCCTGGGTTGAATCCCCATTCTGCCCCCAGGAGGTTACTGAAAGATTTGGGGGCAGTCACACACTCTCAGCCAGACCTTCCTGATAAATTGATAAATTGTTGTGAGGATGAACTGGAGGACAAGAGAATGATGTAAGCTGTGTTGGGTTTCCATTTGGGAGAAAGGTGGAGTATGATATTTGTTATACATCTGAGTTTATCTAGAGCTTGCCAACAAAAACGTTATTGTTCCTTATGTGGCTTCATAGCATGAGGCAGAACAGCTCATTCAGTATTCAAACTACTCTTCAAACTACTCTTAAGTATCATGATCAGCACAGTGAACTACAGTAGTGGCAAGCTAAGCAAGCAGATACAGAGCCCCTAGTTTCTAATAACAGAATTAGCTATGGACACAATAGGATAGAACTTCTTATGGTATGTATTTTCAGATTATTTTTTACCTTTAAGGGACTATTTCTTCAATTGAGATGAGGTGTTGCCATGCAAGCCTATCAATGTGTTTTTTATGAAATATGAACTATGCAAAGGGACCTGAGAATACCTGTTGAGACTGCACACCTGAAAGAGGGACACCTTCCTTTAGTGTTGCTGCCATAGTGTTAGTCCAGAGTCATCAGACATCTCACCTGCTGTGAGATGAAGCAGTTCCATAAGCCTGTACACAGCCTCAGATGCCATGCCATGGAAAGGCACAAAGACAGAGAACTTCAAACTCCATTAGGAGTTTCTTCAAGCACATGTAGGCAACCCCCCCCTCTTCCAAACCTGCTAAGCTGCATGGAGCTCTGTGACTCCAATAATAGTTGCTTAGCAACTAATTGCTCAGCCATCAGCCAGCCAGCTAGGACCATCAAGAGACAATAGCCCTAGCCTGATGATTCAATCATCCTTCATCCAGGTCCTCAGTCTAAGTTTCTAGCTCTCAATATTGCCCACTCCTTAGTCCCCCTCACCTCTTCCAGCCAGCCAATAGTATGTTTTATGGGATGGACTAATAGTAGGTGTTACAGGGGGATGTGGCCAGCCTAGGCCCCCCACACCACGTTATAAAAGATGCTGCCCGACCACATGGTCTCTCTCTTACCCTCTCCACGACCCCTATCGAAGCTTTAACCCTCTTATGTCCAGCTTACTATCCATATACCCTACCTCCATCTTTAAACTCTAGATCTGCAGCTAGAGTCCACGTGTTCTGCCGGTTCAGAGCACGTGTCCCCCATTTTTTATTTCTAAACCCCTCCATTCTTCCATTGAAATGGCTCAATCAATGAGGACAGGTAAATATTGCCCAGCCAACGAATGTCCTGCTAATGCAACTGTGTTAAAGACCTATCTTTATTTCTGAGAATAAGCATAATTGTGTGTGTGTTTGTGTATTGTTTGAATGATACATATCCTTCAGTAAAAAGACATTATATTTTACTGAATACAGTCTCTGTGTCTGTTCTGGTACGTACAGCAAGGGTGGGACCTCTGTGTACGTTGGTGTGAATCCTAATTTGCCTATTGCCAATTAATAATCATAACCTTCCCTAGACTAATTAAGAATTCAAGGCAATTTGGCTAACATAGGTAACTGTAGATTTTTTGACAATTAAGTGTTGTATTGGTTAGAGACTAGAGTGTTAAACCAGAATTTTAGAGACCCAGATTCAAATCCCTGCTCAGCTATGGTGCTAACTGGGCCAGTTGTAGTCTCTCAGTGCAAACTACTTTACAGGGTTGTTGTGAGAATAATATTGTGAGAATAAAATGGAATAAGGGATGCCAATAGGGTTGCCAGGCCCAGCCTGCCAACTGGCAGGAGGGTTGGGGGTGCAAGACATTGGCTGTGTCATTACATCACTTTCAGGGAAAACCTAGAAGTGATGTTGTGTAGTTCTAGGAATCCCTGGAAACTCTATGGCTTTACCATAGAATTTCTGATGATTCCTAGAGCTAACCCATAAGTGATGTAGGATTCCTGCATCACGGATCCAATTTTGAATCCAGGTTAAATAAATGAGAAGAATTAACGCAGCCAATGTCATTGTGTGCCCCACCACCATCAAGAGCAGTGGTGAGCAAAGCAGCTTGCCAGCAATATTCCTGGCTTCCACTATAGCATGAGGTCTGGAAGCCCCTGATGCTAATGTATGCTGCTCCGAGCTTCTGAGAGGAACCATCTGCAATAATGAAAAGCTGTAGTGGATTGCAGATGCAGTGCAACCATCAATACAAATTGTGTAAAAAAGAAAATAAATAATGGAGACTTTAATTTCAGCAACAATACTGTGTGCCTGGAGACAATATAGAAGATGATCTTAGAAGCAGGGCTATTTTTGGGCAGGAACACACAGGAACGGAGTTCCGGCTGGCTTCAGAGCTGGCCATGCTCACTACAGCCAAAACCTCTGTGTGTGTGGCTACAGAGGGAAGGTCTGGAGAGCGACCCCCCCCTGGTGACTCCGAGGCAAGTGGGCCGGGGGGGGGGCCTGGAAGGTTTGGGGAGGCACTTAAATGCCTCCCCATGCCTTCCCCCGCCTGCCC